TCACATCCAGTGTTCTCAACAACTAAAATTTTCGACAAAAGGAATTTACTTAGCTTTGAAAAAAATTTGTCTTCTAAGCAGCATTCAAAGAAAATGATCGTTTCTTGCTGTCTTCATTTAAAAATTAAAAGGCAGTCCATGACTGCGGTGCCTACTGTTGAATAGTTTTAGAGTATTCTTGGTTTTCACGTGACGACGTCAAAGTAAAGAACCACGGTTGCTGCACGTCAACGAATTCCTTAAGACCATACTGTCTTAAAATGACCTTTACCTCGATATGAAACCGATTAGGGGTTATGTTTGTTCTTGAATCAAACAGACTGCATTCGCTGGCAGGATCTACTAAAGAGGCACTTGTGGTCAGTGCATATCATACTTTTTCCACATAGTGATGTTGGATAACCGCTTGCTTTACAATACCATTATAGCAATAGTGGTCGAGGCGTAGTACCGTTTCTGATTAATAAGCAGAAGCGCAGCCCTGTGTCATACTGATGTCCTAGCTTACAGCATTCTGACATTTTTTGTGACTTGCTACAGAACACACTTACGGCAACGTGGAATCTAATTATTTCATACAATGAAGAAGCAAGATGTTGTTAATGGCGACGTCATCTATGCGTCTGTCGTTCATTAGATCATTGGTAAAAACCAATCAAAATGCGGCTATGATCAAATTAGGCTATATTATAGAAGAGGATGGATGATCAGAACTACACATTTTTTAGATACAAATTCAGCTTTGGGATATTTCCTCGTAAATTTCTTCATTATGTCTCCCAGCGTTTCCTTTCTGAAACACTATATTATGATATCCGGGATTGCTGGGTTCTTTCTGTAACGACTGATACTCAGTAGGGTCTTGAGACTGCTCGTTCAAAGACCTGGGTTTGAGTTCCATATATAAAGTTGTTTCTGAAACTTGTTGATCCGCTAATTGTTGATCAGGGGAAGGTCTGACACCGTCAAAGTCAACCTCTTCTTTACTTAGTACCCTTCTATTGGGAACAGCTCGTCTCCGCTGCCATATGAACACACCATTCGTAATGATCAACACAACCACAATGCAAGACAATGCGATAACACTAACGAGAAGGATGCTTTGTGTACCTGGCCAAAATGAAACAAACAAACTATCGAACACTTAAAACACAGCCTGGCTAACTAAAAATTGCTAATATTCCGCACACTTTCTTTGTTTCAAGGGAATAATGTTTCTTTTCTGCACATTCAGTACTTCGAAACGTGAACACAGTCTCAAGCTATCTTGCGTCGTCCCTTTAGATCTTTCTTTACTATTACCACAAATTCCCCAAATTCCTGCAAATTTTGTTGCATCCCACAAATTTTCTTGGATTTTTTTGAGTCAAATACAATATGTATGACCCCCAAAATCTAGAGCCAACGGTATTTAAGAAACCACACCACATTTTAGCCTTGGCCCTTCTAACCATTGGTTGTTCTGTTTCAAGTTAGTTACCACCCAACAGGCCAATTTTGATACACGAAGGATCGACCTGCACTACTTAATAAAATAGTTCCCTAACTGGAGATAGGAAAGGTATCTTCACACTGAACAACATCAGCGTCTGAGACCATATATAATTAAACCTGTATAAACAAGTATCATCACTAGCCTGAAAACACCAAATGAGACTGGAGAGTAGTAGGTTTTCTAAAACTTTTAAGACGAAAAGGTTTAAGCACGTTCGAATAGGGAGAAAAACTAATTACCGTCACCATCTTGATTATCGCTCGGAACAAACAGAGTGATTTTATACTCTGTGGAGCCATAGCCATTTGTAACGTGACACACATACTCCCCATAATTTTGAGCATCCCGTGGCGTGACAATGATACTATTATTCATTAACTTGATGTTATGACTAGTTGGAACTTGGCCATCTTTCGTCCAAGTGTAGTTAAATGGAAAGTTCCTTGTTGCTTGACATGAGAGAAAACACGGAGTTTTCTTTTCACATATCACCAAGGAAGGGGAGAATTCTTTTACAATGCTGGGTGGTACTGTGTGTGAAGAAAACAAAAGGTAATGAGGCCAAAATAAATTCAAGCAATATAACCTGTAATGAAAATCCTGCAGGGAAGATCCAAGGACACTACCATGATGTGCTTTTAGCCTGTAGATTATAAGTAGTTTCCTCGGGGGTTATTGTTGTTATTTTTCACCATTTCTTCTCACTTTTGGACATTTTGGTTGTATTCAGTCCACAGAGTGATTCGTTAGTGACCTGCCAACAACTGCGTGAGTAAGGTTGCGAACCCGTTGTGAAGGTGACGATCTTCTTGCTTTGAAGAACTTCAGCCGGTCATCACTTTTGGCAAAACTTAGCCACCTCTTTCACTTTTAAGTATTATTTAGGTATTAGTATACCTAACAAGACAACTCCAATTCCACGGATCTACTTAAGCAAGTTGATTATTATGCAATTTTTTTCAAAAGGTTACACGAAAGCCAGTTTCTACGTACCAGCAACGATGAGTGTCGTAGCTCTACGGCTCACTCCAAATATGTTCAATGTTTTGCATTCATAAACGCCACTGTCACCAAGAGCAACATCTTGTATAATAAGTATTTTGCCGTTTTTCTTGAACTGAGCGCGAGGTATACTGGTGAGTCCTTCTTTAGTCCAGGTAACAGAAGCTTCAGAGTCTCCACTCACCTCACAGGTCAACACTGCTAGTTCGCCAATTACTGTAATGGTTCTTTTTGGGAGGTCTTCGATGATAGGATTACCTGAGTTTTGATAAAAATGGATGAAAAACTCCTTCCAAAAGCTCACCCTAAAGGTTAAAAAGCAACATGAATGCTTGCCTTCAACTTACCTATTGTCTGCACAATAACAGGTATGCTGTAGGGTCCAGGCCCCGCAGCAGTGTCGCCTCTAACAGACACTTCATACTTGGCACATAAATAGAGTCCAGTCACGAGAATGTAAGTGGAGGTGGTGTTAATAGTTGAAGGATATGTAGACTGGCTATGCGAACAGTTTTCTAGTAAACTGATTCTGACTTCATAATTAACGATAAAACCATACGCAACTTCTCGTGGTAGTCCAACCCAAGTAATATTTATTTTTTTGGAGTTAACTGCAGAAGAAGATATGCCTTCTGGTCCACGAATGGGCTCTATTTAACGAACACGAGAAACAATTTTCATAATATAAGATTAATCTTGGATGAAAAGTTAATCCAACGTCAAATTAGAATGTAACTCCTTTACAATATTCCCAAATGAAAAAGAATGACACAAAAATATGCTCAAAATGTTAGACTTAAAAACACCCTGGAAGAGATAATTAAAAGGTCTGATCCAAAAAGGAAATGCAAAACAAAAAGGAAGAAAAAGCGGCAAAGAAAAAAACATGTTACTAATTCTTAGTTAAAATTAAATTATTGTGCCTTAGATAACAACAGAGTTCAGTGGCAATTTATGCTATGCAACATTTAAAATTGTATAATGTAGTAAGAACGTTTAAATGGATTAAACACACTCTAAGAGATTAATGGTAATGCAAGATACTGCTACTCATGGTGAGCAGATCAAATCAAACAGAAAAAAATTGATCTCAATCATCAAGTTATTCAAAACGCGAACAAGGATCGTACAGATGAGGTCACTACGGGTTGTTTCTCAGGTGTGTTGAGATTCATAAAAACCTACCATATTCCTTGGACATTACAGTTTTCGTCCTATTTGGTCCAGGTACAATAGTCACGGCTCTGACGTGAAACTGATAAATCACTCCACCCTGCACATCGACTGTGTAATTTAATGCATCTTTTTCTATTCCAGGAATAATTTTTGGTGCACCTCCACCGTGACTGTAAAACAAAGTGTAACCCTTTATAAATCCATTTGGATTTGCTGGCTTGCTCCAGGTCAAGGTTATTCTTGGACCATGCAAATTGCTGGGTGGTACATCAACAGAAGACAATGACATAGGTGCACTAGGAGCTGAGGGAATAACAATAATATGATTATTGATAAAAGAGTGATACAGATAATTAGAACTATTGCAGCATGATGATGAAATGTTTTATAATAGATGGCTCTTTCTTGTAACTAATCTAAAAGTCAATTAATTACTGGTCTATTGGAGAAACTAAACGTGTCAACTCATGGAAGGAAACGATTGTAAGTTCAATATTCTATATCAAAGACTAAGGAGGACCCCTTGTTTATACGGAAGAGAAGTTAAATTGAAGGGGCAAGTTGAAGTATTTGAGCCTGGAGTCTACGTGTGAAAGCCATCTAGCTTAGTTAATCAGTGATATAAAGGATGTAATACTGCATTATTTTGGTGTTATGGTAACTGGCTGTTTCAACACAGATAATCCAAAAATAAATGCAGGTTCGTATTTACTTTTTATTAATGATATGTTGAACACTTAGCACTGTTAAAAACTTCAGCTGGCAAAGAACAAAAATTGTTTTTGGGTGATTAATGTTATATGGAACTTACTATTCAGTTATTTATTTCCCTATTTATTTATTTATTTATTTATTTAATCAACAGTAATCATCTGTAGATTTCGTATTTGAACCTCAAGTATTAGTCTAATTCAAAATACATGTATAAATAATTTAACTAATTACAGAATTTAATCCTAATCTTGTGTTTACTTCTATCAATGAATTAGAGTCACCCAGTCAGTTTAGCCCTGACGTTATTTAGGTTGACCAGTCACAGACTGTACTTTTAATTTACACAATAAAAACGATAATAATTTGTTTTTTGTATGGTACAACTAAGGTTATATTGTCATTCTTTTCCTTGTTTTTCTAACATGTAATTATTAATGAAAAGTCTTTTGAAAGATATGGAAGTGGCTTTACCGTATTCCTTTGTAGCTACAGTTATCGTCCCATTAGGTCCAGGTTTAATACTCACAGCTCTGACGTGAAACTGATAAATTACTCCAGCCAACACATCGACTGTGTAATTCAATGTATCTTTGTCTATTTTAGAAATAATTTTTGGTGCTCCTCCACCGTGACTGTAAAATAGAGTGTAACCCCTTATTATTCCATTTGGATTTGCTGGCTTGCTCCAGGTCAAGGCCAATCTTGGACCCTGAAAATTGCTGGATGGCACATCAGCAGAAGACAATGATATAGGTGCACTTGGAGCTGAAGGAATAAAGATAATGTGACAATCAATAAAGAAAGATACAGAAAATCATTGCATGCATGTGTATCAAATAACAATAAGTATCAATTAATGCTGTCAACCTACTAGCTAGAGACAACAATAAGAACACATTTGTGGGGTAAAGGGGTAGGGGATTAAGCCCTCCAGTCACAAAATAGCTGACATAACATGCTGGTCGGAAGCTAGTTAATTATGCGACAAAAGAGATGATAATTCTCTATCAAGGGTGATAATCCCTTGGCCGCCAGAGGGGTAGTAATCCCCTCTTGGAGGTGATAATCTTCCGGGATCCTCCAAGTTCCCATGGCAACGTATAGAGGCTAGTGGTACCGATGCCCAAAATAAATAGCTGCCAGGAGTCTCTGGATGAAAGTGTGACCAGCATGGGAGCACTTAATCCCGAACTCTGGTTTATTAAACATTTTTTCTTGAGACAACAGTTCTTAATTATTAATATGTGAGAAACTCTAACATCATGTATAACAGCCAATAATGGCTAAAAAATAACTTCAACCTATTGACATCGGTAGGAGTCAAATTGTCAAAGTTTGTGTCCTTCGATAATGTTTTAACTGATATTAGAATGAAACGTAGTAAAGTCTTTTCATTACATTGAATACTAGTCATTGTCAAGTGCTATCAATAGGAAAGGGTGGGAGGGAATTATTTATCCTTGTGATCTGAATTACTGTAACAAATCACTGAACCGAAGCAGGCATGCTAAGCACAGTTTGATTGCCACAGAGAAAGAACAGCTGTGATTGGACAATAATTGGCTGCACGTGCAATCAATGCAAGCTTATCTGACCTTTGTACTCTTACTATTATTAGCACTTGACAATTGTTTTCTGTTTACTTTGCCCTTGTATGCTAGTAGTTTCATCATTAACTATAATTTATAATTTATAAATTTGCTTATCAAAACTATGCTGCAAAAATTTAGTGTAGTCGAACTTGCTTTAAGCAGCACCATCTTAAGCAGTCATGCTGTATTAAGCGGTTAGTTGTCCCGGTCCCAAAAATTGTTTCCCTTAATTACTGTAATTTTCACCACGCGGTCATCTCTATGAAGGGGTCGTGGTCATCCTTGACAGAGTCCCGAAGGCTTACTGCTTCATATTGACTGAACAAGCTTGGTTAATAAAGGATTTGTTATGTAGAAAAAAGATTTCGCTTTCATAAGAATCTAGAATGAATTGTTTATTTCGAGAGCCAGGAAAGAAAGCCGACAGTGTTTGTAACACAATGAACCCAGGAGGTTCGCTTAACTTTTTCTTAGTCTGTACTGTCTTCTTTCGCTTTTGTAACTTCGTTGCCGACATAGTCCAAAAGCTATAAAATTTGTAAGCCCGCTCCATGCACTTTTTTTCTTACGCGGGATCAAAGCTGGCAGTCCCGAACTGGCAAGATGGGTCCAGCTAGTCCTCTCGGGTAGCTAATCAGAAACAGGATTCGCTTCGTCTTACCCACGGCGCTGCCAGCTGTGTAATGAGAATTTATTACATCGCTCCGTGGGAAAGATGAAGCGAACACTACTACAACCTAAAATCGCGTATTCCCAACATTTTGAATAAACACTTTGTAAGCATTGGTCCCAGCCTAGCTAGCAAACTCCCCCCTTTTGAGAAACACTTTACCGAATACCTTGATAAAAACAAGTCACCCATTACTTCATTTTTCTTCGCGCCAATAGGCCCCAATAAAATTAAATAAGAAATTCTCTCTATGCCTCAAAACAAATCATACAAATTTTACTCGTTCCCTGTCAGCATACTTAAATATGCAAATGAAATCTTAAGTGAAGTTTTCCCAAATATCTTCAATAAGTCTATTGAACTTGGTACGTTCTCCTCTAAACTAAAAATGGCAAAAGTTCTACCAATCTTCAAATCTGATGATCAGACGGATCCCAACAGCTATAGACCAATTTCATTATTATCTTGTTTTAACAGAAGTTTTGAAAAACTTGTCTTCAAAAGGCTGAAATCTTTTATCGATGAAAGCAAAATCATAACTTCATCACAATATGGTTTCAGACAGGGTCCCTCAACGGAGCATGCAATTCTTGATATTGTTAATGCTATTCAATCAAATATGGATGCAGGCAAGTTCTCCTGTGGTGTCTTTGTTGACCTAAAGAAAGCTTTTGACACCGTTGATCATGGTATTTTGCTTAAAAATTAGCATATTAAGGATTTTGGGGGTTAATTAACGATTGGTTCAGATCTTATCTACACGAGAGAACGCAAGTGACGGTAGTTGGAAATAGGTCGTCTAATAAGCCAATTATTACTTGTGGAGTTCCTCAAGGTTCAGTTTTAGGACCATTGCTCTTTCTCCTGTATGTTAACGACATTTGCTACAGCTCAAAGAAATTGAAATTTTATTTATTTGCTGATGACAAAAATATTATTTATAGCCACAAAGACCTCAAAAATCTTGAAAAAGAAATGAATGTCGAACTAAATAATGTGTATCAGTGGCTTGTATCTAACAAATTAACCCTTCATCTCGAAAAAACTAATTTCGTAATTTTTCACCCTTTCCCAAAACGCCTTCCTTTTCTTCCCACAATATACATTAACGATAGCCAAACAAATGCATTAACTCACCTGAAATATAAAGACGATGTGAAATATATCGGTGTCCTAATCGATTATAAACTGTCATGGAAAAACCATATTGACTCTGTAATATTGAAACTTAGCAAAACCATTGGATTACTGTCTAAGATAAGGCATTTTGTTCCTTTCCATACTCTTAGTATATACAACTGCCTTGTTGTTCCTTATTTACGATACGGTTAAATTGCATGGGGACAAACTGGCAAAACTAAATTACATAAGCTTTTGATCCTCCATAAACGTACTCTCCGTTTCATATGTTTCGCTGACAGGTATCAGTCACGCCATTCCTCTGTTCCTTTGTGCAAAGACTTTACCTACTCACTTTACGTATCATAAATTGCTAGCTGAGACAATGCATGATGTAAACAATGATGTTATTCCTTCACAATTGAAGGATTTGTTCATCCCTACTGCAAAAAGTTATTCATATAATACGCGATCTTCAGCCTCCAACAACTTTTACATTAAGAAATCAAACCTGGAAATTGAACGAAAATAGTTTTCAAGAATCGATGCAAAACTGTGGAATGAGATACCAACTAAGCTTTGAACACTACCAAAATTAATCTTGAAAAGAAAAACTCGTACAATCTTGTTCAATATATTAGAATAAGAAGACTCCTACGAAGATTTAGAATCGATAATCCCTAAAGTTAGTAAATACTCTTGGTAGCTATCACCTTTGTCTCGCCCATCCTACCTTATCCATTTTATCTTTTGTATTCACTCACAACATAATGCGCTGTCAACTTGAATTAACCACATAGTTGTTTCGGTCCGTAGACTTAATTTGTTTTCTTATTTACCATCTATTTATTCATCTTTAGTTTTAATTGTATTTTCCTCTTCTTTTACTATTTATCCTGGCCCGCCTCGATTAGCACTGCTATCTCCGGAGCCAGGGGAATAAGGATTTATTGTTTTTGTTATTGTTAAATAAACGTGTTATATAAAAAAAAAGAATCCTTTGTTCTGATTGGCTACCCGAGCGGGCAAGATGAGCCAATCTTGCCCGCTTTGGATTTCCCGTACTGATCCCGCGCAAGAAAAAAACTGAATTAGAACTACGTTGGCGATGGAAGCGCAAAGAGCGGCAGAAGATAGTCAAAGTAAAGAAAACAGAAACGACTCTCGTGAGTTTGTTGTGCTACAAACAAAGTTGGCTTTCTTTCCTGGCTCTCGAAGTAAACAAGTATTTCTTAATTCTTAATAAAGCGAAATCTTTTTGTAACATAATAAATCCTTTATTAACCACGCTTGTTCGGTCAAAATGGCTGGATATTAGCCGAGTTCTTTTTCGCGTTTTTATGGACCTCGACTTTGTATCGGTCCGTAAAAATGCGAAAAAAGAACTCGGCTAATAAGCTTGGTTAATAACGAATAGATACTACCGCCCCATTTTGGTGTGAAAGAAACTGGCTCCTTTTTTTTAGGAAGGAATAATCTAAAATTTAAATAAATTCAGGTTCATCTGAGCAAATATCTCAAGTCACGAATGGAAACTACTAAAACTTGGCAAAATTGAAGATCGTGTTCATACAAAGAAAAAATATTATTGAGGAGGCAAGGTGAGGTAGTTGAACCTGGAGTTAACGTTTTGAAAGCCAGCTCCCTAAATGAACTTCATGTCAGCAGGTGTGATGGTAAAATTTATGTAAGTGCTGATTCTTACCATCTTCCATTGATTTTGCGAAAACAGTAGAAGTGTTTGGTCCATTACCAGCAGAAGTGAAGGCCAATACTTGAAATCCATATTCAGTGAATTCATCAAGTTTGTCAACTCTCGTTGATGTGTTTCCATTTTCAATAGTCAAGGATGTTGCCAAACCTGAGTCTTTCTCTTTAAAGAACAGTTTATATCCTGTGATGATTCCATGTCTGGAGTCTTCTAGTGGTAACTGCCATGAAAATGTAATACTGGTTGAAGAGTCCACAGTGACAATGAACTGAGAGGGAGTACCTGAAGGAGCTGCATTGGGGCAGTCATGTTTTAATCAGCATCTTTAATAAGGGAATTTTGGTACTCTTATTTCTAAGTCCAAATTTTTTCTATCTTTTAAAATGAGACTTGTGTATAGTGATTTACAACTCAAAAATGTAGGGTTACAAAGATTTGGGTAAACCAATTTTCAAACTATCAAAAATAATTAATTGAATCCCAATCATCTCCCTGTATAGGTAATGCATATTGCATAATTGAATATTTCGACATACCTTATTGTAACTTATTTTCAATTCGCAAAAACTGATTTTCGCTTTAACGAAACAGACATATTTTGCGGGACTTTATTCGCGATTTAATGAGAAAAATAAATTGTCACAATGCTTATATTTATTAATTAACAACGAGTCTCAATTGGCACAACTGATTTTAATTTTCCGTCAGTAGTTTTCGATCACATTGAACAAAACCATGCTGCAACAAAGCGAAACTGAAAACAGTTTGACATGTTCTTTTGCAGCAAAGCAGAGCCATGCAAGAGTACTTGACAATTTCCTCAAATGGATCCTTGGGAGTAAAAGCTGACACACCCCAGCAAATCCTGCTTTGTAACATCTTTAAGCAAAGTAGCACTTTCTCTCACTGCTAGCCAAGTATATTGAGTTTAGCATGATCACTTTTCGCGAAAACGTTGTTGTGCGGGCGAGAAAACTACATGTAGGTCTTGAGAAAGAAGTAACAATAAAGTATGTTGAAATAACATAAATAAAATGAATGGACCGGGAAAGGTGTCTTTCTATAAAATTTAGGAAGCCAGACACCTGGAAAATAAAAAGTTTGGAATGTTGATCATGTTAAGATCTTTCACATCAGAGATCAGGAAAATAAAGAGATCGAAAAAGTGTTCTCAGGACTGTTGATCTCCTCTTTGAGACTAAATAACATTCTAGTGCTATCTATAGTTTCCTGAGTTCCCAGAAATAGGAATTAGATAGAACCCTATTTCTTACCAGCCTCCTTTTTCTTCTTAAAAATGACTGTACTGTTTGGTCCATCCCCAACAGAAGAGAAGGCTAATATTTGAAATTTGTATTCTGTGTTCTTATCAAGCCTTGTGACCTCTTGAGTGCGAGTTGCCTGATTGTTAATGGGCTGCATGCCCACTGGCCCTAAAGAGCCCTTCTTTTTGTAGAACAATTTATATCCTGTGACGATTCCATTTCTGGAGTCTTCCGGTGGTAACTGCCAAGATGCTGTTATACTGGTAGAAGTGGTTGCAGTAAGATCAAAGCCACTAGGAGGCTGTGAAGAAACTACAACTGAGAGGTTGTATTATAAAAAATGATTATTATCGTACCGACAAACCGATGAAAATGTACAAGTATCTAGCCTTTTATTAAAAGCCTTAAATTTTCTAGAAAACATAAAAAAGACTTGTTCTAACCATCTTCTTTTGTTCTCACAACAGCCACAGAGCTATTTGGTCCGTCCCCAATGGCAGTAAAGGCCAACACTTGAAATTCATATTCTGTGTACTTATAAAGACCATTGACAACCTTGTTTAAAGTTGATTCATTGTTGATAGGAAGGATAGTTCCAGACCCAGAGATGTCTTTACTTTTGTAAGACAGTCTAAATCCTATAATTATTCCATTTCTGGAGTCTGGTGGTGGCATTTGCCATGATGCTGTAACACCGGTAGAGGAGTTTGCAGTGACAGTGAAGTTAGATGGAGGTTGCGAAGGAGCTGCAATTGGGCAGTTAAAGTGTTTCAATTTGTTACATTAGCAGTAGAAATGTCTGAATAACTTCATGTCACATCTTAATTGAGACCCATAGTCAAGTTGCAGCAATTCACAATATACGGCTTACAAAAATTTTCATTATCTATGGACTGTCACATACCATCTTCCAGTGTTCTTTTCACCTCGACGGGGCTCTTCGGTCCATCACCATCAGATGTAAAAGCCAACACTTGAAAGCCATATTTTGTGTACTTATCAAGCCCAGTGATAAGTCTACTTAATGTTGATCCACTGCTGATAGTCAAGGTTGTTGCTGATCCTCCAGAACCTTTCTTTTTGTAGAACAGTTTAAACCCTGTGATGTTTCGTCCATGTCTGGTAAAGATTGGTGGCAACTGCCACGAAGCATTTATGCTGGTAGAAGAGCTCGCACTCAACTTGATGGCAGTGGGAGGTTGTGATGGAACTGAAATAAACAGCAGCAGTAGTGTGTTTTAATTCTTAGTTTCGTATGATGCACGATCCTCGCAGTACAGAGCGCTATTTATGCAATAGCGAAAATCAGACCTGAAAAAAATCAGGCCTGTACGGGACTCGAACCACTGACCTCTGCGATACTAGTGCAGCGCTCTACCAATTGAGCTAACAAGCCAACTGAGAGCAGGCCGTTAAGTTGATTCGTAATAAACCCGTGATGATAAATCAGATACAATGAATATATGAAGTTCATATATTTGAACTGCGGTATTAGATACGTATGATGCACGATCCTCGCAGTAGAGAGCGCTATTTATGCAATAGCGAAAATCAGACCTGAAAAAAATCAGGCCTGTACGGGACTCGAACCACTGACATCTGCGATACTAGTGCAGCGCTCTACCAATTGAGCTAACAAGCCAACTGAGAGCAGGCCGTTAAGTTGATTCGTAATAAACCCGTGATGATAAATCAGATACAATGAATATATGAAGTTCATATATTTTGAACTGCGGTATTAGATACGTATGATGCACGATCCTCGCAGTAGAGAGCGCTATTTATGCAATAGCGAAAATCAGACCTGAAAAAAAAAATCAGGCCTTTACGGGCTTCGAACCACTGACCTCTGCGATACTAGTGCAGCGCTCTACCAATTGAGCTAACAAGCCAACTGAGAGCAGGCCGTTAAGTTGATTCGTAATAAACCCGTGATGATAAATCAGATACGATGAATATATGAAGTTCATATATTTTGAACTGCGGTATTAGATACGTATGATGCACGATCCTCGCAGTAGAGAGCGCTATTTATGCAATAGCGAAAATCAGACCTAAGCCAACTGAGAGCAGGCCGTTAAGTTGATTCGTAATAAACCCGTGATGATAAATCAGATACGATGAATATATGAAGTTCATATATTTTGAACTGCGGTTATAGATACGTATGATGCAAGATCCTTGCAGTAGAGAGCGCTATTTTTGCAATAGTGAAAATCAGACCTGCGTGCCTATTTGCACACATACGAAAATATTTAGCGATTTTTATCTTTCATCTTCATTTTTGAGTACAACCTTAATACGCACCTTCGCTCAACTTCCTTTCTTTGTTTTCTTTTTGGTCACAATAATCATTTTCCTGCATATATCCATCCAAAAATAGAAGCATTGACGCCATAAATGACATATACGCTGCAAGGGCCAAAGTGTATTCGGAGATTGGGCAAACTTTAATTCATGGATAAAAAACGTATTGTTTTAATCTCTTTTAAGTTTATCATTGGCTTATTTTTCACCCAACCACTATTCTTAGCAACAAAGGTCTCAAAGTACTTGCAATACGATAGATGTTGCTTTTGTTTTCTCCGAAAGCATTCATTTTTAACTCGTGCATTGTGCGCATGCGCAAGAGCGAGTTGTAGGTATGGTGTGATGAATGGCGCTCGCTCGCTCGCTCGATTGGTCGATTCCTGTAAACTTTTTTATTTTATTTTAGGCTTTTGAACGCATTTGATAGTTTTTGGCGAGTGATAAACAAACGAAATGGCGACCTTTGTTGCTAAGAATACTGTTGGGGTGAAAAAGAAGCCAATGATAATATTGAAAGAGTAAAAAAGCATACGTTTTTCATTTGTGAATTAATTAAAGTTTGCCCAATCTCCGAATACACTTTATCTCTTGCAGCGTATATTTTATTTATGGCGTCAATACTTCTATCTTTAAATCCAGGAAAATGATTATTGTGTCCAAAAAAGAAAACAAAGAAAGGAAGTTAAGCAAAACGCAAAATTTACTCGCTTACGGGGGATTTGAACCAGTTAAGTCGCTACGCTGTGATCGTCATCTACCGTCTGCTTTTTACCGTAAGGCCACCGAAGCTCCTTGATTGATTATTATGAAACTTTATATACTTATAAATTTTACATTTAAAATGCTGATCTTTTGGTAATTTCAACCGCGGGCTCAAACGACGCGAGTCGCTGCTCTCCGATAGTCCGAAATTGAAGTATCGCTCACGGCCAACTGCTCGTAAAGTGACTTGTTTGAGGCTTGTTTGGTATTCCTGGAGCTGTATCGACGTTGGAAAGTGGTTCACAAGTGGGAACTGCATTGAAAGAAGCTCAAGCATAAGTTCAATCAATCGATATGCTGTTTCTTCAATGGCGTAACTCGCACAGTGTATGCGTATGTTATTAGTGCACTGTTAAGTTTGTATGTCTCCAGATACCTTGAATGAAGGATTTTTTTCTTAAAAATGCGTCCTGGAGTGAGGAACAGGAAGTTCTAAAGATGGGGATTGATATCACTCAAAATGAGTGTAATTATCAGTTCTCAAAGCAAGGAATGTGCACTGACAGTGAGTGACAAATACTGCCTAAAACTAATAGCAGAGTCCTTACCTTAAGGTGACTGAAGTTTCTCCTAGTAAGACCTATTTTTTTCAAAAGGAGTAAGTAAAGATCTCAAAAGAGAGCACTTACTCCTCAAAGATAATACATCATCCCTATGTCCTTGAGACAAGGATCTTAACTTTAGGAAGTGGTTCTTTCTATCAATATTTTGTGCATGTAACACAGGTTAGCCAGGCCATACTACAAACTCAACAACAACTTTTAATCTGACATAATAAACCCAAATTGTGCTTTCTTTAAAATGTTTTAAATTATTTTGAACTTAAGATACCTGCACAGCAGCAAGTTTTATTTGGAAGCAAGACTTAAGTTACACCTCACTTCATTTGATGTAGATCAAATGTACAGCAAAGTGACATGGCTTTATACCTAACACCAATTCTTCAAGAAATGGCACAACTAAATATTAACTTAATATGCTGAAATTTTGGTAGTTACTAAAACAAGGAATTACCTGGAAGGAGAGGAATGAGCTGGAATGATCCAGAACGAGCTGGAATGACCAAGAATGACCAAGATTTTGGATTGAATGACCAATGATTTTGGATTGAATTTGTCTCCACATACTTGATTTTAACTTGCTAAACAAACTCTTTACATCCTTCCGCCATTTTCTCACGCAGTTGGAAAAGGCTGATGGGATATTAGCCAAAGGAAGCCTGATGAAATATTTCTAATGCAAATGACCTCATGGGGCAGAATACAATGCATCAGGGGATAGGATATTTCCCGCAAAATCTCCAGCATCATGGCGGAAGAGTTCGATCTCTCGCCCTTAGGAGGTAGGATTATTAACTAATATATATCTTTTTGTTGACTACTTACTTAAATTATGAACTCAGTAACATCACTTAATAACTGTGCCACACTGTGAGCCATATTGTTGTGTTTTTGACCTAATAATTTAGTAGTGAAACGTGTTGTCTTCCATTCCATGTCACGATTTTCCACTAGGATTTAACTCGGCCGCCATCGTGAAATATTGTATCGGGCTTCCTGTGGCTACTATCCCATCAGCCTTTTCCAACTGAGTGAGAAAATGGTGGCAGGACGTAAAGACTTTGTTTAGCAAGTTAAAATCAAGTATATGGAGACAAATTCAATCGAAAATCATTTTTATGGATCATTCTTGGGTCATTCTTGGTCATTCTTGGTCATTCCAGCTCATTCTAGATCATTCCAGCTCTTTCCAGGTAATTCCTTGTTTTAGTAACTACCCTGAAATTTTAACTATTCAATAAAGATCTTCATGCAGATTTACCAATACTAAAATAAACAGTATATAGCGGCTTCATGACAAACACAAATTCATCAAGGAATAGGTATGGTAGCTTTTCCTTTGAATCATACTGAAGATTACTCTTTCTCTTTGTCAAAAATATTGTTACAGATTTGCCTGTACCTAAATGTTCTTCATAGAGGCTTTACACCTAGGACATGTTCTTCAAGAAATTGATAAAGCAACTTTTCTTTTGAATCATATTGTAGATTAAAACAATAATAAGTTGACAGTGACAACAACAAT